GATATGATTAAAAACCTTTCAAAAGTGAATGAAATTATTTTACGTCAACTTATCTAGCAAAATTAAATTGTCTATTTTCTAAAAAAACCTTTTAAAAATCTGTATAATTGTTCATTATTATCAATTATTTGACTAGCGTCTTGTGCAAATGATACCAAGTTATTTGAAGTTGAGATGGGGAAAAACTATTTTTTGTTTCGTCATACATTTTTGTATTAATTATTCTTTTAAATACTTGATCAAATTTATAAATTTTCACATGTCTAAAAACCCAAATTTTAAGATTTTATTATAATTTTATATAATTAAAAGGGGAGTAGATAGAGCAATCGATATGTAATTTTATTGCCCTGTACATGTGTGAATTATCAATAGTAAATAACGAAATATTATTTTTACCTAAATAGCAAAATAGTCGATGAGTCTAAAACCCTGATTTTAGATACGTGTTACAAATCATATTTTTATTAAGGCTAAAACCTAAAACATATTTAGTTTTTTATCAGAGCGAATATTCTTCGAAAATAGTGAGCTTCGAAACAAACAAATTTTAAAGCAGTTTATTTTAAGCCAATAACTAAATAAAAACGTGTAAATTATATTTGTACCCCACGTAATATTTTATGTAATTTATTGAGCTTGGTATTATGAAGGTTAAATATGTTTTTGTACACTAATTCGTGGAGAATATTGACAAAAAGCACAGAATCTTTAAAGCTTGTTAAATGATTAATTTAGACGGATTTTATGATTGATTGATTAGATGGCGTAAAATATATGAATCGGATTTTACTGATAATTTTATTTAGAATAATAAATTAATAAATCGAAAAAAGTTTATATATAAAGTACTGATTCGTTTAATATTATTATAAAAAGTTACCTGTTAAGGAAATTTTTTTAATGGACCTTCAAATAAAATTCACCCTATTGTATTTTACCAAATTTTAAAATAAAATATGTTTCCATAACAATAAAGTGCTATTCTTGTGAAATATTAATTTGGAAATAATTTTATTATCTTAATACAAAAATAAAAAGTATTAAATAGTTTATCAACGCCAATACCTACATATACGTATTTGAAAAGTTTATATGCAAGTTTTTACTGACCTTTTGATTTTGCCGACGGCTGTTAGTCCATTTTCAAGGGTTACATTTCAATTTACAAAAAAATTGACATTTTGACTGGCGCAATACAGTAAGTTTATTGTTTTGAAGCACCGGCGAAATTTAAAAAATATTATTTATGTATTTTTTACTTGCTTTTGTTGTCGTCAGTCAGTGTTGACTTTAACCCCCTTAGGAAATGAAAATTAAAATATGTTACTCTACCTGCCAACGAAAGTCCCGTTAAAATCAATTCAGCAGTTTATATATAATAATTCCCAAAAACTTTAAATTCCTAGGTTAAATAAATAGTTTCTCACCTGGTTAATTATAACCAATACCGCAGTAATGTGGCTAATTTAATTTAAGATATTACAAGCAGTTTCGGTTAAATAACCAACATTGGAAACGATTTAGTTAGTGATGAAGTTATAAACGATCCATTGCACTAGCTGTAGCATCTAAATTCGTATAGATAATCCTAATTTGTCAGGAAATTATCTTGGTAAATGTTTGCTATTTACATATTCGCGAACGAAATGTGACACAAATAATTTTATATGCAAATTCACGTATGTATCTGCCATTCTAAGTATGAATGATAATAAACAATTTTGCATTTTTTTAAGAATATCGTAAAAAGAATATTATGTATCAATTTGATAAACGCCATTTTAGTCACGAATTTTAATTAGACACGAGCGAGTTTTTAATTAAAAGTTAATAAACGAGTTGCATACTATACTTTTTTTACGACAAATACTTATTATTATCTAAAAATGATTTAAATTCAATATTTGTAACATCTATAAAAAATAAAGTAACTTGCTTAACAATTTCTAACTTGGGAATCGCGCCAGTCATAAATCGAAATGCATTCCTTGAAAATGTACTAACAACCGTCGGCAAAATCAAAAGGTCAGTAAAAACTTGCATATAAACTTTTCAAATACGAGTCATTCCAAATAAAAACACCAAATGGGGTGCGCTGCGTGATTTTTTATTTTGATGAAAAAATTTGAGGATGATCTTTTAGGTGTCAATTATGAAAATCCGTTGCCGTTTTAATTTTTTGTTGCTTTACTTTTATTTGGCACCCTTTAGAAGTCTGAAATAGTGTCAATTTCTTACTCTCTTATAGTGGGTCAGAACTTTTTTTCTGTGACAAATATTGAAATAATTTTAATTTTGTTTTACTGTCCAGTAAGTGTGTTTTCGATATAAATTATTATTATCCAATTAGTTAATCTCATAAAAGAATGGTAAACCACTAAAGATTCATGATAATTTGCCAATTTTTGTGATTTTTGTCTGGCTCCTGTGCCTATTCTACTGAATTTAGAAGGTTCATTTTTTTCAGGTATAAAGTACTTATACAATAGAAAACGTAACTATTATTTTAAGTTTCTAGACTATCAATTTCTTTATTAAAAAAATTATTGAAAATTGATAATTCTCAAAATTAGCCAATTTTGCCCTCAGAAATCATTATGTTGAGGAAAAAATAAAAATCTGAAACTTTCAGGAAATGTCGTTCCCACCTTCATCTTTTCAGTCCAGTTAGTCTTGTTTTGTTATTTTTATTCCTTTATATATTAATTTTTTAAATGGCCGTTTAGTAGCGATATTGTTAGTTTTATTTATAATTTAAAATTTAGATGGCTTTTATGTTTGGTGGAGAAGTGTCAAAACTATCAAAAATATTTAATAAATATTTCTTTGGTAAATTTTGTATATAACATAATATGTCATATTATGTTATAATATATTATATAAAACTTTTTAAAATCACCAAATAATAATTATGAAATATTTTTGACAGTTCTGATATTTTTGGTAGTTACTTATGTTATATTTTTTGTATTGAAAAATCATATATATATACTTTATAATGAAGTATTTAATTGGCTAATTGGTGTTTAAAGAAGAAGAATGTAAAAAATATATTCAAAATCCTTATGGTTTATATCGTTAAGTATAATAAGTGAAATTAATAAAGAGTTAATTTAAATATAAAAAATGCGTTAAGCAGTTTTTTGTCGGTTTCTTTCACAATTTAAACCAAGTTAGTCTTGTTCTATTATTTTGATCCCTTTAGTAAGGCACTAAATAGTAAAAAGTTAAATGTATGTATTTTAAATGTTAGTGTTGGAAAAAATTTACACAATCTGTAAATACTTCTTTAAATTTTAGTTTTTAGGTAACTGGTTAAAATAAAGGAAGTGACTCCGCTGCCGGCGCTGGCTTCCAAATTTTTTTACTACGGATGCCGGGTCCGGCAATTTTATAAAATGCATATGGAAACCGGTTCCGGTAGCCTAGTTATTGCGCTGTGTCTAGACTCGGATACCGGCGCATCGCTTATAACCTAAAAATGTGTTGGTGTCTTTCATTTTCTTGTGTACTGTTTTATAGTAATTGTTGTGATTGTGAAACAGGTAGTGAAAAAAATGAAAGTTGGTGATAAGTTTTCTTCATATGAGGAGTTTGAAAGTGCATTAACGGACTTTAAACAAAATACAAATAATGAGTATTGGTTACGTGATAGCAGAACAATCGAAAAACAAAAACATCGAAATCCTAATACTGTATTAAACATTAATTTATCGCTTAGGTATTATTACATTCGCCTAGCCTGTGTTAGAGGAGGAAGGCCGTTTAAAAGCAAAAATGAAAAGTTTGTTAGAAAATGTAGCACTTACAAACAGCAGTGTCCAGCGAGTATTTTTGTAAAAGTAAGTAGCTGTAAGAAATTTCTTTTCATACAAGAAATTAAAAATGACCACAATCATACGTCGTCAAAAGCATATTTTAATTCTCTTGCAAAACAGAGGTTAAACTTGCCCAAAAATATTAAATTTAATACACAACATGCTTTAAACGCAGGAGCAAATAAAAAAATTATTTTAAATCAAATAACAAAAGAAACGGGTTGCAGACTAACATTAAAAGATCTCACTAATTTAAACAATAGATCAAAACCTCAAAAAAAAAATCTCGAAGAATGTGTTAGGATTTTAAAACAAAATCATGGTTGCAGTGAGATCGAAATTTAAGTAGACAAAAATGACATTTTTAAAGGTCTTTATTTTTAAGATGATCGTATGAAAAGCTATATAAACGCATATCCCGAAATTATTTTTATTGATGGAACGTATTGTTTAGTAGATTTACGCTTCGCCACATATATAATAATGATAGAAGATGGAAATGGTTCGAGTGAAATCGTTGCAATTTGCTTGATTGCCGAAGAAAATGAAGAGTCCTTGAATTTTTTTATAAATACTTTTAAAAATCGAAATTCTGCTTGGGAAAGAGTACAAGTAGTTATGTCTGACAAAGACAGAACAGAGAGGAAGGTTTTTTCGAAAAGCTTTCCTAATGCTAAATTGATGATATGTCTTTTTCACGTTTTTCAAATATTTAATAGGGAAGTGTCGACTAAAAAAATGGGTATTACATCCGATGAAGTTCAAATCAGCAAACAATATTTGCAAAAACTGGCATACACAACTTCAGAAACTAATTACAATGAGATTTACACGGAAATGGTTACGAATGTACCTGAATGTGTCAAAACTTACTATGACTCAAATTGGGGAAATATAATTGATCAGTGGGTGCAGTACTTAACTCTGCAAAATCAATGCATGAATAACAAAACTAACAACCGATTAGAGTCTATTAATTCAAAGCTTAAAAGTGTGATTACAAGGTATAGTCCACTCGAAGATTTTATTGAACACCTTTTTATTATCATTAATAGTCTTCGAACTGGCAAAGATGTAAGAAATTTACAGATGCTAAATAGAACTTTAACGCGGCCATTTAAAGAGGGCTCCATAGAATATTTATACTATCAACATTTAACCGGCTTTGCCTTTCAGAAAATGGAAAGACAGCTTAAACGAAGTAGTTCATGTGACATGAAACAGCTTGATAATGGGACATTTTTGGCTATGACCTCAGAAGGTTTGCTTCAAGTTACCTCTCACACTTGCGAGTGTTTATTTAGAAAATCGACAGGGCTTCCCTGCAGACACATTTTTAAATGCAGATCTTTAATGTCTTTGTCTTTATTCGATGTTAATTTGTGCCTATCTAGATGGTCTAGATCCTATTGTGAAAAAATAATCAATGACTGTGAAGCCATTCGTCCACTTGCACCTTTGCACGATTTAGTTAATAACTATGATGGCAATAATGAAGGGGGTCATCGTGTAAAAGTGTTGCAAGCAATAAATCAAAAACCAAGGTATTTGAGTAATCACGAAAAATTCAATATAATGCAAAAGGAAGGAAGAAAAATAGCAGAATTATGCAGTGAGGTATCAACTGATATTTTTTATAAAAGACTAAATATAATTCAAACTATCGGAATGAATTGGGCTGACCATCAAGATTCAGTAATCTTAAAATTATTTAACAATTTAACAGAAAATAGTAATCAATTATTAGAATCGCAATTGATACAATCAACAACGGAAACAGAACTACAAATACAAACAAATGAGAATTTTATTCAGAATGAAGAATTTCGACAAACAAACACGCAAAACGCAATTAATCAAATAGAAATTAATAATAATGGTGCTGGAAATGAAGATATTATTGAAGAGTTTCTAATTGGTAAAGATGGAGAGCTTATATCAATTTCCAATTGCAATGGGGAAACAACACTAGAGTCAGGTTTGTAAAAGATTTGGACTAGCTGCGAGAACTAAAAGTTTGGACAATTATTTTTTCTTTTTTAGTGACTACGATCAGTAAAAAAGATGATACCTTTAACCAAAATAAAGTGGCCACCGATAAATCTATGACAGATATACTTTTTTTCCAAGAACATATTATTACCAGTGACACTAATTCTTCTAATTCTGCTAGTAAAGAAAATAATAGTTTCATTACTTCAACAAAGTTCCATGAAGTCGAAGTTCAAAATGAAAAAAATAGATCTACCGAAGAAGTAAATACTATTTGCGTTTGTAAGTTTCTAGATTAAATTATTATAAAAATTATAAATACTTAGGCAATGTCTATATTTAATAATTTTTTGGATTATTTTTTTATTTGTTTAACTCATCAAATTCCCTTTCATAATGTCTAATGATTTAAATATTCTCTTGCAGCAGAATTCGATTCTGGTATGAAGGAAGGCCTAGATGTTAACATAACATGCAATAACTTACTTAATTCTACCAATATTTCAATTGAATCCGTTGAACATCAGAACAATGAAAAACAAGATCAAATTCAAGAAACCACATCAGATATAAACCTGCAAAACATAAAAATGCCATCGAAAATTAGGAAACGGGGACGTCCAAAAGGATTTGGAAATACCGTTATTGGCCTTAAAAAGTCCAGAAAAAAAGCAAATACATAATTATATTGTTTATGATTTGAGAATGGAGAAATAAAATAATCTTTCTCTTTTTGATGTTGTTTTTATAAACTGCTTTTTTAATATTGAAACATAGCACAGAGAGCCGGCATCTGCCATAGGTACCGGCGCCGGTTCATGGTAAGGGTGTCGGCGCTGGTACTTAAAATAGATGCCGGAGCCGGTATCCATAATAAGAACCGGCGCCGGCAGCGGAGTCACTTCCTAAAATAAAACATGTTATAATAAAGGGGTTTATTTAGAATATTTTTTGGTTTTTGCTTATTTTTAACAATTTCAAACTTCTCAGAACTTAAATATTTTCTATAAGAAAGAGGTACAAAATTATGATATGTTCTTGCATTTTGAATTGCAATTAAATTCATGAATCTCGAACACTCCGTCATTTATTACACTTGCAAACTTTTTGAAATCACGATTTAAATACGCACAAATAAAATTTATGAAATATTTTTGACAGTTCTGACATTTCTCTACCAAACATGAATTGACAAAGTCAAAGCCATCTAAATTTTAAATTATAAATAAAACTAACAATATCGCTACTAAACGGGCATTAAAAATTAATATATCTTTTAAAGGAATAAAAATAACAAAACAAGACTAACTGGACTGAAAAGATGAAGGTGGGAACGACATTTCCTGAAAGTTTCAGATTTTTATTTTTTCCTCAACATAATGATTTCTGAGGGCAAAATTGGCTATTTTTGAGAATTATCAATTTTCAATAATTTTTTTAATAAAGAAATTGATAGTCTAGAAACTTAAAATAATAGTTACGTTTTCTATTGTATAAGTACTTTATACCTGAAAAAAATGAACCTTCTAAATTCAGTAGAATAGGCACAGGAGCCAGACGAAAATCACAAAAATTGGCAAATTATCATGAATCTTTAGTGGTTTACCATTCTTTTATGAGATTAACTAATTGGATAATAATAATTTATATCGAAAACACACTTACTGGACAGTACAACAAAATTAAAATTATTTCAATATTTATCACAGAAAAAAAGTTCTGGCCCACTATAAGAGAGTAAGAAATTGACACTATTTCCGACTTCTAAGGGGTGCCAAATAAAAGTAAAGCAACAAAAAATTAAAACGGCAAGGAATTTTTATATTTGACACCTAAAAGATCATCCTCAATTTTTTTCATTAAAATAAAAAATCATGCAGCGCACTTTTAAATTCATTTTTGGTGTTTTCATTTGGATTGACTCATACGTATTGGCGTTGAGAAACTATTTAATACTTTTTATTTTTGTATTAAGATAATAAAATTATTTCTAAATTATTATTTCACAAGAATATCACTTTAAACATGGAGAAAAAATATTTTATTTTAAAATTTGGTAAAATACAATAGGGTGAATTTGGTTTATTAATTAAAAAATTTTCTTTAACAGGTAACTTTTTATAATAATATTAAACGAATCAGTACTTTATATATAAACTTTTTTCGATTTATCAATTTATTATGCTAAATAAAATTATCAGTAAAATCCGATTCATATATTTTACGCCATCTGATCAATCAATCATAAAATCCGTCTAAATTAATTATTTAACAAGCTTTAAAGATTCTGTGCTTTTTGTCAATATTCTCCACGAATTAGTGTACAAAAACTTAATTAACCTTCATAATACCAAGCTAAATAAATTACATTAAATATTAAGTGGGGTACAAATATAATTTACACGTTTTTATTTAGTTATTGGCTTAAAATAAACTGCTTTAAAATTTGTTTGTTTCGAAGCTCACTAGTTTTGAACAATATTTGCTCTGATAAAAAACTAAATATGTAGCCTTAATAAAAATATGGTTTGTAACACGTATCTAAAATCAGTGTTTTGCACTCATCGACTATTTTGCTATTTAGGTAAAAATAATATTTCGTTAACTATTAATAATTCACACATGTACACGGCAATAAAATGCTGCTATTTTTTTTTGTCGAACATAATAATTTGAAATGTTTTATTTTAAAATTCATCAGATTTAATGCGAAAAGAACATTTTCCAAATTATTATGTGCGACAAAAAAAAACTAGCAGAAACGCGTAATTTTTTAAGTTTATTAGTCTTCAAAATCTGTTTTATTTTAAAATTCATCAGATTTAGTGCGAAGAGAACATATTTATTTATGGCTACAATATTGACAGCAGTTTACTGACAGATTTCACTTATCAGGAACAAACTTATATCATTACTGTTACTGGTTTCATATTATACCTATTCCATACTCTTGTAGTCAAGAAAGATATCAATTCAGACATAAATATTTTAAATGAGTAGGCGCGTAAAGTACTGTTGTGTATTGAGTGTTAAAAACTGAACCGAACATAACCTCGAAGCAACATATTTGTTTTGTGTGTTTTTGGTAAAATACCATGGTGGTTTATTCAGCTTTGGGTTGTAGAAGGTATGTATGTTATAATGACGCAAATAAAGAGCCTCTAATAACCTTTTATTTTCACTTCCTTAGTAAATGACATTTTATAAGTTAATTTTGTTGTTTTTGTAACCAAGTAAACGAAAAATTATGGTGAAAAACCTGTAACAGAGGTGTAAATTTAAGTTTTCAATTTGAAAATCGCCATATGAAGGTGAAAATAAATTTTTGTACGTGTCACACTATGCAATTAATCTTTACTAGGCTCACTGAATTATGCACAAAATTCCAGCTCGCCCTTAGAGATTAATTTACAAAGCTGACACGTAAATAACAGGTAACATAACCTGTTACAGGTATTATTTATTTAAGGTTATATATCTAATTATTTTATTTAGTATCTGTTAAACCAGTTCCTAAATAAACAAATACGCGGTTTTTAATTCAAAATGATCTTATATATAATTAAATTATGCTTGAAACTGTGGATATTTCGGTTCAGTTTTTCAACTTTTTAACGTCCACTTTTTTTCTTTGCCTAAGAATTAAGATATTAAAAAATATTCCTAAAGCTTCAAAGAAAAATAAGAGAAATTTATGATTTTTTATTTACCAAAATCGTTATGAAATATTTTAATAAAATTAAATTAAAACCGAACAGAATATATAGATGAAATCAAATATTTATTATTCATTATATTCGAAGTAACTTTTTATGTTTAAAAATGAAAGAGACCACTCCTGGTCTTAATAAGATACTTTTAAATCGGTTTTTAAATTAATTTTTTTTCGGTGCGTCGCAACTGTATATTTTAAGGCGACTAGATTTAACTTTTTACGTGATATGATACGTAAATTAGGCTACAAGTTATTGAAAGCAACCTTTGACAATTTTAAAACTTTTATTTATAAATTTAAATTATTTTTTTAAAATAATTTTAAATACAAACGCTTTTTATGTAATTACTCTCTAAAATGTGCCCGAATAAACCAATTTCTTTTGGTACAAATGACCAGCGCAAATAAATGTTGTGTGGTAGTTTTAAGTTTGTTTTTTTGTTGTTGAAAAATCCATTTATCAGTCTTACAAACGTCAGTTTCGGACTATAAGCGTATGTAGGACAAAACATTTACATTTTATAAATGGATTGCATTTATTTACTGCATTGCTTCGGTGACCGCAACATGTTGAACTGTAATTAATTATTAAATTCTAAAACAAATCAGTAAAGTTCATGCATTAGCAGGTTACGGATTTTCAGGTTCCAATAATTAATTATATGGGCTAAATTGGTAAAATAAAAAGTGAATATAAGTTAAAAAGTAAATATAAATGAATCGGTGAGATAAAGAGCAGTACAAGTGCAAAAGTTAAAATTTTGACAAATTATTTATAGTTCAAAATAAATTTTCGTGAGAGTATTTGAACTATAGTTGCGAGTGCGAGTGCGAGTGCTTAAATTAATGAGTGTATAGAAATGTTTATAAACGAGGTGCATACTATACTTTTTCTACGACAAATACTTATTTTTATCTTAAAATGATTTAAATCAAAAATTTGTATGAAGCGCCATCTATGAAACAATAGGGGAATCTGTGTATCACCGTCAAATGTCAAATTTTTATATTTTATAAACACAGATTATAAAGGTTATAAATCGAAATTTATTTCTTGAAAATTAACAGTTTTTCACAGTGTAAGTAAAGAAAATGTTTTATGAGCACGTTACAGTGGAGTCCGTGCCCGAATTTAAGTTATAGTTTACTACCGGCGAAATTTAAAGGTCAGTACAATGTTTATATAAACTTTTTTTTTTTTTTTATTTAAGCACAAGAAAACAGGTCGCATCAACCATTATAGGTTATTAGCGACATATAAACTTTTCAAATATTGGCGTTGAGAAACTATTTAATACTTTTGTATTTTTGTATTGAGATAATAAAATAATTTTTACATTTAGTATTATTTTACAAGAAAGGCACTTTATTTTAACGATTGTATGAGATTTGACAACTGTCAACTAACTTAAAACTAAAGCCACAACTTGTCAATGTGTATTAAAAAGGTCACTTAGTGTCATGGAAACATGTACGATAAAGGACGTTTTTAAGGTGGGAGTAGAAAAAATAAATTGTGTTATTTTTACCTAATAATACAAAAATACTTCTAATAAAGCATTGTAGGTAGGTACTACTTTATATTAAAATAATAAAGATAAAAATATTCATCTTCAATCGGTCTATCCTTATTGTTGTCAACAACCTTTACTAAAGTGATTAATTAAAAATAATGTATACCAATTGGCTTAGGTTACTTACAGCCTTGGCTGTAAAAAATCATTAATTTATACTTTGGACCGATAACAAAATCTATATAACATCACCTTCTACGTTTGTACGTTTTATGTATCGTTTAAAGAATAAAATTTTCCATTCGGCCAAGAAGTTTGTAACTATTACAAGATTTAATAATATTTTTTTTTAATTTTAAGTTTTTAAACAAATAAAATTATATAACTATTTATTAAATAATTATAATCGTTCTCTAGATTTAAAACAACCTGGCAACTATGGCTCGTAATTACG